ACCGACGAAATCGCCTGCCACCGGAAGTCTCAGAGATAAACTGTATTAACACACTATTCAAATCAGACAATTTTGAAAAGCTAAGAAAAAAACAAAAAGATCAGAACACATCCTCCAGCAGTCAACACCCAGATAAGCAGGGATTAACACCAGACAAAACTGGGCTCAAAACAATACCCCAATCACGAACATCAACATTGGCAGGGCAATGTATACTGTATACCAATAGGGAATTAACTTATTTGCACCAATGATTGGGTAATGAAAATATCTGCAAGCGAACAATCAGACTCCGCATTCAACCGTAATTATATATATATATATTCTTCTACTGGATTTGTTTTAATGTTACAAGATGACTCCTTCTCATAATTCTGCTCAAAGTGCAAGTCCACCACCCTTTGTTATCTGCTTTCCATCTCATTCTTCAGGGTTATTATAAATTGAATTACAGGATCAAAAGGCCTCCTGAAAACTTTCTCATAGGTGTTTTTCAGCAGATGTCATGTGCCTATTGACACAGGAAACATGATTTAAACATAAAAGTCAACTATCAACTAAAAAAACACTACCTATAAATAATTGTCACTTTTGAAACTGCAAAATAAGAAGACAGAACGTAAAACAAAGATTCAATATATTATCTTGGCTTTCCTCTGTTGTGTTGTTGTAGCAAGGCTTCGCTGATAGCACAAATCTTCTCACCTTCAGAAAACAGGCAATAGCTTTGCTTCCCAGGAAATCATCAGTACCCAGTTACATACAGATAAAGGAAAGATGAATGAATCAAACAAACTATCCTATTGATTATTGCTGTGACTATAGGAGGTTCAGCAGGCTGCAGTTCATAATCCACATCCCCTTAAATGAGAGATGTCTCTGTAATTTAGCAGATATCTCTGTTCGTTTCTTTACTGGATACAGAATAGTTTGATTATTCAAAGGGCAGAAATCTATTGAAAGAGGCTAAAGAACTGGGGGGGGTGTGTTTCTACTCCCCACTGAGGTGTCCAATCCAATAACTTCTGAATCACCATTTAGATCACCCCAGGAAATTAGAAGAATCCAGATAACTGAAGTATGGAAGTTCCTATTTCAGTAGAAATAAGTAATTTATATCCAGGAATTTCTGCTAGGCTTTTAAAATTTCTATTTTCCATCTCATGTTCTTTAAACGTGTAAGTTACGGAACTGAGTTTAATTTTAGCCTTTATCTGTATTTCAGGATATGTAAAGAAGAAAAGACATTTTCTTCTTTACGTCTTTGTGTGGCCTATAATAATTTGAAATATCTCCGAATATCTTTCCCGAGATTCTGGTAAAGTGTGCTTCATTTGTAGTATTCCAGGGTCACCTTGTGATCTGTCTGGAGCACTGGATTCATCGGGGAGGGGGATTTTTCAACTTTAATTTGCAAGTTGCTCTATAACAGCGGTTCTCAACCTATGGGTCGCGACCCCATTTGGGGTCGATCGACCATTTCACTGGGGTCGCCAAGCAAGGCTGTCCACCATTTTTTCCCCTTTTCCAGCGGGTGCCTTACCTCCCTTGAGCTGGGCCAGCTGGTGGTCGGCCTGCTCCGTCTCTGCCGCTTGCCAGCTACGCCTCAGCCGGCGCAGGGGGCGGAACCACGCATGCGCAGTGCTCCCGGGCAGGGAAAGTCCTCGACTTACGACCGGTTGGGTAGTCCTCGACTTACGACCAGTTTAGTCCTCGACTTACGACCGGTTTAGTCCTCGACTTACGACCGGTTTAGTCCTCGACTTATGACCGGTTGGGGGGTCGCGGCATTAAAAAGGTTGAGAACCACTGCTCTATAATGTGATCTGGGCAGCTGTGTTATTTTTTTCCCCCAACATTAAATGATGCTTTTTATATTCAAACAGTTTCTTTTGTAATAAACAGTTTGTTTTCATTATCCCTTGTGAGATTTGTTTACTAAATCTAGTTGTGTCATTCTGTTGAAAGAAAAATCAGGTCCAGTTCCAAGCCGGGATTGAGATGCTGGAAGTAAAATGGAGGCTGCTTAGGAAAGAAGGTTGTTTATTGATGAGCAGAACCAGCAGCAGCATGCAGTTCTGGGACAATTGACAAAATGGGAGTTTAGAGTGGGTGGGTTTTTATACCTTCTGATTGAGATGCTACAGGGGGTTGTGCAATACAGTGAGCCTTGTGTCAGTGGTGGTCAGTTAATCCTATTACCGGTATGTCCTAAAGGTCATGTCCTTTCCTTAGAATTTGGATGGGGGAATGTAAATTCTTAATCCCATCAGCTGTGGGGGCTGAAAGTGTTTTGTGTATGAATAGATTGGCCGAGTCTTTCTGAATATCCATTCAAAATCTCCTAACGACTGTTCTTTTTGCTTGAGGCTCTTTTCATATAGCAGGAAGACTGAGGCTGCTTTCTGCCTTTGTTAAGATTTTTTTTCTCCATTTAGGGGAAATATTCTATCCTGCCTTGGAACTTCACGTCTCCAAAGAATCATGGTGCTACAGGTAGTCCTCACCGTACGACCACAACTGAGCCCCAAATTTCTGTTGCTAAGTGAGACAGTTGTTAAGTGAGCTTTGGCCCATTTTACAAACTTTCTGGCCACAGTCGTTAAGAGAATCCCTGCAGTTGTTAAGTTAGTAACACGGTTGTTAAGTGAATCTGGCTTCCCCATTGAGTTTGCTTGTAGAAGGTCGCAAAAAGGGATCACATGAACCGTCATAAATACAGGCCAGTTGCCAAGCATCCTAATCTTGATCATGTGACTATGGGG